AGTCTATGGAAATTTATTTGTTGTGGAGCACCCTTAGGACCGAAGTATACCGTCCCCCAAGAAAGTTGGCCTTCGTCGAGATGATGGGTAATCTGATTGGTCGAAACTTAGTGACGTAACCCGGACTAGACCTGACTTGAAATAAACTTCTCCTGGACACCTGACTTATTTACAACAATTAATCAGCGGTTAGTTTATTCATCAACACACTCAACCAATGTACCAGCAGAGGGCGCTATTAACAGGGAGACTGTGTGATTATACGTGACCGGACTTCGCCCAGAGCAGCGAAAACCACAATTAATTGTGGGCATTCAGTGCAGAATCAGGGACTTTAGCAAGTCTACGGGGCTTATTGCCACGGCTGCACTACACGCAACTCACGTCCCGAGATAGCAATCCGTCCTTGCATCGACCGCAAGCTCCTATCAGGAACTATACCGCACCACCAATCAGCCCCTCAACCTACCGAGCCCTCAACTACACACGCACCGTCACTCGGGATTCAGGCACAGTCACACTAGGCTAGGTGACTTCAACCCTGGCACAGGATTCTTGACCCTTACCTCAGGATCAGCCCTGGATCAGGACGACTGAACCCTGCCTATGCGCGCCTTTTATAGTCTGCTGTGACCAAAGATCGTATAGCGCCGAAGGCGCAAGATGAACAACTCTGCCCAAAAGCTGTAATTTCCATGGGCGCCATTTGAGCAAGTGATACGCCTGCGCAGTTTACATTAATGCTTCGGCGCAGGCTCACCAGGTGCACGTGCCTGCGCCTGCGCATTAATGTCCATTGCGCAGGCGTATCGCTTGCTCAAATGGCGCCTATGTGATTACAACGTTTTACGTGTATTTACTGTGAAGTTCGCCATCTTGCGCCGCTTCGCGGCGCTATACGATCTTTGGCTGTGACCACGTCTGCGCACGCGCTCACGTGACTTTCGCTGCCCAATCGCACTATGCACAAGGCGGAGCCTAAGTGCTGAGCTCGCTTAACACACAGCTATGCACGCCTAACATCTGCCCTCTGGGGGTTAAGGCTATAAGCCAGGCACTCCATGCATGACGTCACTACACAAAATATCACTGCATGAAAACCCATTTACTTAACACAGATATGGTGGACCAACTACGGACTACACTGTAAACATGGAGAAAGGAACAACACGCTCACGACTAGGTCACGTGCACGATGAGTTACAATTGGGTATTCGTACATGGGCAGTTGAACAGAGCCACACGCGTAGTGACGTCATGCACGAAGTGCCTGGCTTTTAGCCTCCCCCATCGTGAATCGCCCGTATTGTGGGCCTACATTCTGTTACAAAGAAGTACAATAGAGTAAGTACAGAAGAAGTACAAAAAATCATGTTTTAAATAAAAAAAAATTGCTCACAAAGCATGAGGTCAATAGAGAGATTTCACATTAGCGCCGTCTGCGCATATCTGCATCGAAACCGAGGCTCTCTGTGTTGAACTTCGTCGCGCGCGCCTGCGGAGTCCACACACAACGTGGAGTATCCGGTTCGTAAGTGTGACGCCACTTCAGTTTAAACCACGCCCACTGCACAAGATACACGACCATCGCAGGTACGTTAGTTCGCGGTCAATTGTCGTTATTTTTTTCTTTTGATTTTACGTGTCAAGTCATCCTGAAAGACTCTTCCACAAAACTTTCAGCCTGAAAAGTCTGAATTTAACATACCTTTATGTATTTTGTGTCTTGACTCCTTACTTTCAATCGTCTGATCGTATTAAGAATTGAAGCTGACACACACAGCCTCGTTTTCAAACGCAGAAGTGCGCAGATCGACGCTAAAAGCGTCGTATTGGGATCCCTCTGTTACGGGATAGAAAACTTTCTTTTATACAATGCTGTTAGGTATGGTCGTACAGTGAGCCTGTACATTCCGTCGCCGGCGGAGAACTGTGAAAGATATTGAGCCACAGCAAGTCACTCTTTATACCCAGCAAGAAATGAGACCGAGGGGTACCCCCCCAACATGTCCAATCCCTATACACATTCCAGACTATTGTTACTTAACACATCGCCCCAAGATGTCTGAAAGGAATTCCCCAGAAGCGGGGGGGGGGGTTCTCTCCGTCTCATACCTTGCTGCATATGTCACTCTTTCATGGGACACGAACACACAACCGCAAGAGGTTGTTTTACTAATCACTACCGTAACCCTTGAGCAGCCTCTGGCGCACTGCTATTGTATGTATCGATTTTTTTTCGACAAATGTATTGTAGCAGTGCTGGGCTTCCATATGTAGTGTTTTCTTCATTCACAGACTTTCGGCATGGCAAAAAGCCGCCTACTTCGGGCCTCAACGACGTCCGTATCATGAATGCTGATCTCTCTGAGTGACACACATGCGTAAGGGGGTCTTGATATTGTAACAACAGGAAAAAAATTCGGCGCGCGGCGCCTGTAAAGACATAAACACATAGACCACCAGTGTTGCCCGTACTGCGGAGGGTACATAGGTACGCTTGTGGGCTGATTTTCAGATCATCTATAGGTAAACACAGGTGAGTTGTGTTTCTGTAATGGAATGAGAGTACTGACGTTCACCACTCCCTATAGATCACTCATTAACCAATTCAGGGAGATCGCATGTAAGTGACTCAGACACATGCGACTTGTCCTGTTCATTCAGTGAGCAGTGACTCAAATGCAGTTGCTGCAGTGCCTTGAAATGTTTCATATGCTTGCACCATGATGCTGCTGTGCCAGCAAGGCTATTATATTTAAGATCCAGTACAACCAATTCGGTCAGATTCGACTTAGCGACATGTTTCACGTCCCGTCCATTTAATGAGCAGTTGCATAAATGAAGCTGCTTCAGGGCTTTCATGTGCTTCAATTTCTGGCACCATTCTGCTGTATGATCCAGGTTGTTACCCGAAAGATTCAGTGTAGTTACGTTGGCTAGATCACAGAGTGCCTCAATAACATATTTCACACCCTGTCCATTCAATGAACAGTTGCATAAGTGAAGCTGCTTCAGGGCTTTCATGTGCTTCAATTTCTGGCACCATTCTGCTGTATTACCCAAGTTGTTACCCGAAAGATTCAGTGTAGTTAAGATGGCTAGACCAAAGAGTGCCTCAATAACCTTTTTCGCACCCTGTCCATTCAATGAGCAGTTACACAAGTGCAGCTGCTTCAAGGCCTTCATATGCTTCAAATGCTGGACCCATAATAGTGGTTTACTGAGGTTGTTGCCAGAAAGATTCAACGTAGTCAAGTTGCAAAGATTCCTCAATGACTCAATGACATGTTCACTGGATTTATCAGTTAAGCACTGACAAAGGGTTACATGGTGAAGTTTTGTCATTGCACTAATGCCAGTGGTCAAATCCTTAAGACACCTTGTGAAATCACATGATGTAATATTCAGTTTCTTTACTTCAGCAAGGTGAGCCCTGTCACTGTCCTTTGGCTGTACAGCAACACGTTTCCAAAAGTAAGTTACCGAGTTGAGACAGTCAATGTCAATATTTTCAATGGTAACAACGTCAGTTAGAAAGGAACGGATGAATTTCTCAGGAGGCAAGTGTTTAGGCTGGCTTTCACGATAGCAGTGGAGTGCCAAACGGCCTTCTTCTTTTTCATATGACAGGTCTTCCTGACAGCTCTCCAGAAAAATGTTCTGTATCTCAAACGCACATGTTGGTGTACTGACGGGCGCACTCAAACACGTACTTGTCTCACTGACACCACAACAAAAGCGCAACAGAAGATGGTAATCGGAATCCCATCGGCATTTTAACAGAGTCTCATTTACAATCTTCCACAATTTCGTTCTGATGTCCTTCTTTAGATGCTTTCTTTGCAAGTAAAAAGCAGCACAAAAACATTGGACAGTCTTGTCTAGGAACTTCACAACATTCTGAGGTATGAGTCTCTCAAACTCTCTCTCTCTTTTCAAAATGCCGACTGTTAGACTCACATTTCGCACATCCTGCTTGAACCTATTTTCTTTGAAAGTCACAACATGATCTGGAGAATGAAGCCCACTAAGACTAGCCTTGCCAAGTTGATATACAGCATTGAACATTTCTTTCTCTGACACATTTTTCCTTTTGCACAGGAACTGAAACATATTCTTATACTGCAGCGACACTGGTTCTAAGAGTGTGGTCCTTTCTTTATACAGTAAACACATCCAATGAAGAAGCATTGGAGTCTCTGCCAAAGAAACCAAATGGCTGTAGGATACAACTTCTTCTAAAAGCCCCTCGGCCTCGTTGGGTTTCCCAAAATATTTGAACACTTCTATCACATATTGTCTTATGTGTTCCTTTTGGAACCCCGTGACCCTTGTGTTTGTGAATGGTTCCTGAACCAATTCCTTTGTTACCAATGTGTCAAAGTGTGAGGGGCGGGTGCTGACAAGTACAGTGCAACCTCTACACGACTTTCTACTCAGGATTTTCAGTATGGAACCGAATGAGGATTTACTGAGGGGAGTGGTTTTCATCTCATCGAAGCCATCCAACAGAATGAGGACTTTGCGGGGATTCTGTTGGATATATGTCCATAGAGCATTTCTCTCTTTGTTTGGGCATTCAGTTAAGAGTTGGTCGAGAACTGCATCCATAAGATCTGACCCTTCCTTCAATTCACGCATTTCCAATAGGAAGACCAGATCATAATCCTTTAACACACGAATCTTGCCAAATGCCCAATCATATGCAATCTTCTTCAAAATGATGGTCTTTCCTGTACCCGCCAACCCATTTAATACAACAGTACAAATCTGTTCTCCCTCTTCCGTTGTAAGGGGTAAAATATCCTCATAAGATGCATGTGTGCGTTCTGTTGTCCCCTCGCCAGTTATTAACGGTATGTTAATGAATATCTTTGGGATCTTTAGTTTAACACTTTCGTTCCACGGGTTTCCCTCTACAAAGCTACCTTCGTTCAAGTATTTCTTCTGCAATCTCTCTTTCCACTTCCTAGCAGTAGCTCCATATTGAACATCAGATCCTATAGGGCATTCTACAAACAAAATGTCCAAAAAAAGTATTAGGAATTACATTTTCGCCTTCTACAAAGTCTAAAAGCCCAAAGCATGTTCCTCAGTTCCAAACTATATTACATCGAGGCAACAACCCAGGTCTTGTTTGTTGTTAACAAACATAAAAGAGATCTCATCCACTTCAGTGTCGAAGATGTGCACTTTTTAAATGTTTTTACTTATGATCTACCATTCTTAAATGTGGTATGAACTTTACACTTCTTTGAGAGTATATGTATCTTCATTGTTCGGTGCTCCTACGTGTACTTGTTTCTTTCTACGGGGAAACATTCGAAAATCGTTTGCGACAAACTTTAAGTACTATGCTTTGGAATTAACAGTATCATTTTTATTTCTGCCGTGTCCACCACCGATTCGTATTTTGCTTCAGATTTGAATACAACCCACTTGTATATCGATTGTGTGCATCGCTGCAAGAGAAGCACGTGTACATCGACAATATAGGTTCCTGACGTACAAAACAGTTGACCCAACATCTGGAGGTTGCCTTTCGCTAGAGTGTCCATCTATTGGTCTAAACGCAGGCTAATGTGGGGCCGGTGTGGCGGTCTCAGCTGTCTCCCGGTCTCAGCGGTCCCCCTTATCAAATATGGTAAAATACGTCACGCCACCTCTGCGCACAACATCGGGAAAGTCATAAAATACGTCACGCCACATCTGCGCATAACATCGGGAAAGTCATAAAATACGTCACGCCACCTCTGCGCATAACATCGGGAAAGTCGCCCGTTTAACGTCTGGCTATTCAGGAGGGACCGCTGAAACTGGGAGACAGCTGAGACCGACACACTGGGTTTCATCTCATGAACTAATATTTTGAGCGTGGCTACCAGAACGTCATTTTCTCGAAAATATTTCAGAGTGAGACATATGGAGAGACTACAGCGATAAGTAATACGTATACTGGAAACAATTATTGTTAGACTCTGCTATACATTTCCAAAACTTTCATTTGTAATAACGAACAGCTAAAAAACAGTTTCTGCACTTCTTGAAAAATTGCAAATGAAAATTAGCGACATCCACGACTAGGGTAAGATCATTACCCTAGTAATGGATGTCGCTAATTGAAGTTATTATAAATGGACATTTCCTTCCACTGATTAAGTTACGTATCTTAAATAGCATACTGGATTGCAGGGGAAGAAGTCGTAAGACGGCGCACTGTGCACGATCCGTTATCTAGCATTTGTGTCATTGCAAGACCAAGGCCACGAGAGAACGTCAGACGCAAATTTGACGAATTTGCCAAAAAGAATGACGATTTGCAGAATGACACGAGTTTGCTGAGGACGATGGTCACGTGTAAAATCGAATAGCTGTGCCAATGCGTGGAATCGACTACTTGCAAACGGGGGAAACACCAAACGAGTGTTCACGACATATTCCGACGAGCTAAAGATTAACCAGTGATTTTCAGCGTTTTTTATACCGCTTTCTTACCGCTTATAACTCATGTTCATAAATTTGTCTTCAGATGACGATTCAGTTTTGTCTAATTTGCCCTTAAGGAAAGAAATACTTAGGGCCTATAGGTATGACCCTTAGGGTAAGAAAACTGCGTTAATTTTAACGTGTACCTACCAATAAGTATCAGAATTGTCTGTGTAAGTTAACTGTAATAAAAAAGTGCGTAAATTAAAGACAGTATACCAGATGTTGAACCCGCAGAAAGCAATTCCCAAATTTATATTTTTGGATTGTGTGCTCCTAAAGTCACTCGGCGTGCTTGATGTCAAGCAGTGAATTTAGGTTTAAGACGGTACGTGTACATCAGGGATATTCGATATATCAAATAAACCCTTGTTGGATTTCTGATATATTTTGAAGAAATAGATATAGGCCTACTGACAAATCCTTGAAGATGCATGCACAGTTCTACATGTACTGAAATTGTAGTCGATACAACGGATGAAACGCGAGAAGAAACTGCACGTTAAGGCGATAGACTAATCCGATTCGACGCCATACTTGCGGTGGCGCCGCGCTCACACACATTTTCAGCTTGACGCGAGCGTGCATTTGGCAAAATCACGACATCCTATTGGTCAAAGAGGCATGGAACGTGCGCATACCACCTGTCCAAGAGGCTTCTAATTCTGGTTGTGGAATTACAGTATACCATGCTTTTATCAAGCAGCATACTCACTATTCATCAGCTCATCAGCAACCTCGGCATACCCCATTTCTGTCAATAATTTGCAGGAAGATTCTCTCTGATTGACATTAACTGGTTGATTGCATCTCCACTTGATAAACACTTCATATATTTGACGATGAACATCTCTGCAATGGTCGGCCTCTAAGTGTGTGACTTCTGCATAGTCGATGCCAAACTTTGAAGCCAGTAATGGCAAATCTTTCGACCTAAACTTTCCAGCTAACATCCACAGAGTAATGTCATCCAATATCCCTGTAAAAGAAATGCAGAGAGTTACAAGAAAGGAGTTGACGAAACACAAATGTTCTGCCACCGCAACTGCATTCCCATAACATGTCATTACCATTTCATCATCAGCCCTTTAGGCGTATGGAACTTGCGCATTACTCACTGACCCAATGTCTATATGTCATCTTTGAATGACATCCCCTCTATCATCCCCTCTATCTTTGAGAGCATTTTAATCCTGTACATCACCTGTTGCTTCAGGTTGGCTGTTGGATCTGCTTCTTTTCTTTCCTCTCCTGCTGTCCTCTCTATCTTTGCGAGCATCACGGTCATGTAAGTCATCTGTTGCTTCACGTTGGCTGTTGGATCTGCGTCTCCTCTTCCCTTTCCTGCTGTCCCCTCTAGCTTTGTGGATTTCCGGGTGCTGTACATCATCTGTTGTTTCAGGTTGGCTGTCGGATCTGCTTCTTTTCTTTCCTTTCCTGCTGTCCCCTCTATCTTTGGGAACATCAGGGTCCCGTACATCATCTCTTGCTTCAGGTTGGCTGTTGGATCTGCTTCTTTTCTTTCCTCTCCTGCTGTCCTCTCTAGCTTTGTGGGTTTCCGGGTGCTGTACATCATCTGTTGCTTCAGGTTGGCTGTTGGATCTGCTTCTTTTCTTTCCTTTCCTGCTGTCCCCTCTATCTTTTGGAACACCAGGGTCCCGTACATCATCTTTTGCTTCACGTTGGCTGTTGGATCTGCTTCTCTTCTTTCCTTTTTTGCTGTCCTCTCTATCTTTGGGAACATCAGGGTCAGGTACGTTATCTCTTGCTTCAGGTTGGCTGTTGGATCTGCTTCTTTTCTTTCCTTTCCTACTGTCCACTCTATCTTTGTGAGCATCAGGGTCATGTAAGTCATCTCTTGCTTCAGGTTGGCTGTTGGATCTGCTTCTTTTCTTTCCTTTCCTACTGTCCTCTCTAGCTTTGGGAACATCAGGGTTCCGTACATCATCTGTTGCTTCAGGTTGGCTGTTGGATCTGCTTCTTTTCTTTGCTTTCCTACTGCCCTCTCTAGCTTTGGGAACACCAGGGTCCCCGTACATCATCTGTTGCTTCAGGTTGGCTGTTGGATCTGCTTCTGTTCTTTCTTTTTCTTTTTTTGCTGTCCTCTCTATCTTTGTGAGCATCAGGGTCAGGTACGTTATCTGTTGCTTCGGGTTGGCTGTTGGATCTGCTTCTCCTCTCCTCTCTTCTGCTGTCCCCTCTATTCATGTTGGAGATCCTGTTAGGAAATGAAAAAGACTAAGTCTTTTCAAGAATTACATCAAAGAAAGTTCATGTAGGCCTGCATGTATCTTATTCATAAAACACATCTGAATACTTTGTAACGGTCATTGCTTTGGGTGCCTTTTTGTCTTGTAAACTAAATACATACAAGAACATTTATACTTTACCTCTTAATAGAAATCGTTGTATTGATCCACTTTCATTCCAACCTAACCCCATCCCCATGGCTGTTGCACACCTCCAAAACTATACTCTGCATGTATTAACAGAAAAGGCACAGACGGCTTGCTTGTAACATGACGTTTCTTGTTCCAGGAAAGAACTTTGGCCTAATTTAACGGCGAATCTGTCTGTAACCGAACAGAGAAGAGCAGAAACAATGTGAGGCGAGTGGAACAGATTTGTTTATTTACAGAATACTCCAAAAAGAGTAATATCTACTGTATTTTATTTGATCTTAGAAGAATCTTTCTGAATATGGATCCTAACCATGCCTAAGCGAGATAATCCAGTCTTTATAATGGGATCAATGTTCAGGCCACATTACACTGCGTGATGAGAGTTGTTGCACTGCGCGGTGACGGTTGTTACGCGGCGCAGTAAGTGTTGTTCAGGTGGCACTCAACCTCGACCCCGCGGGCTGCGTGCGCGTTCCTTCACGAGCCCTGGTCGTGCAGAATACGAAAATGACGCTGACTATTCAAGATGAATATACAAAAGCATAAAGCCAATCGTGCGCCAATTTCAAATGCTGCACGCTCGCGCCCACGTATTCTCGACGGGTAAAGCTGCGTCACGTGTAAACACATTGACTAAAGTCCAAATTTATATATCCCAATTTCTGACAAGATATTTCTCTTCAGGTCAAGCAATTTTTTAATTTCTTTAAATTGATATGCTAGTAAAAAAAATTACAAAAGCATTTTGAGGTGATACTTAAGGAAGTAAACGAAAGAAAAATAATCACAAGTTCTAAAAACTTAATGAAAATAAAATTTGTAATAAAGTTTTTGCACAAGATTTTCCCTACCGAGAATTCTAGAAACGGTTACTTTCAGATGTCAAATATCGGGCTAGGCTATATTAAAATGGGCTTGGTGACTTCCTGTGGTCATTCATTAACTTCTTGTGATCATTCCCAAAAAGAACGAAAATTGGAGCCTGTCATCAGAACAACTCTCATCGCGCTGTGAAACAACTTTGTTAGTCATGACATAAATAGCACTATAGACAATTAAGTGATTATTCTTACTTCAGAAAAGTAAAAAAAAAAACAACTTGAAAGTTTCTCAGGTGTTCAAGACACAGATCAAGTTCAAATTTACTAATTTAAGAGCCTAACTGATGACTTCTGAAAATGTTTCTCTGCAGAGTTGATCCCCCCTTAGAACAGTCGTGACCCAACGCCATTTGAAAATTTCTGCCTAATTACCCCGCGGCAAACCTTTGCCCAACATTTTCAGAAATACAGGCTGACCCTGGCAGTCGTTCTGGTAGCTTCCACCCTTCTGTTTTACAAACCCTCCAGTCCACGCACCACAAAATATAAGAAAGAATATTTTACAGCATGTAAATCGTGATTTGGTCCTTATATCCCTCCATCCTGTCTGGGTCAAAGGTTACGAATACGCCAAATCTGTCAGGAGACCCTACATACACATACATGTACATACATGTACATGTATGTGTATGGTTGCAGACTAGTAAATAAGTTAGCTGCAAGCCATACACAACAGTGATAAATATCCTCATTTCGAAATATCAGGAAACATACAAGTTTTCAGGCGTTCAAGGCACATATCAAATTGAAGCCCAATTCCTTATCTTTCATTTTCCTTTCAATTTTAAGTGGCACAGCAGATGACTTTTGAAGATATTTCTCTCCAGAGCAGAATCACCCCTCAAAATAATCATGAGGCCCATCGCCATTTTGAAAATTGATGCCCATTAATCGCTTCACTACAAAATAGAGCGATTTGGAGGGCCCCATTTAGTCTGATACTTTCAGAAAACAAGCTGGCAGCCCTGCTCCTATAACTTCCCCTATCCTCCTTCTTTTACAAACCACCCAGTCCACATGCCACGAAATGCTGTCACAGCAGAGAATTTGTTTAAAATCATTTCCCACGTTGGTGGCCTAAGCTATACACATTTCCCAATTGAAAAAAAATGATAAAATGTTCCCGGCAAGATATCCTACTGAATTCCGTTAACCCAACAAGACAGACAGGGATGAGAAAAACCCTACTTAAATAATAGTACTGACAGATTTAACTTACAGTCTAAAGTTGTGACCAGTGTGTACGGAAATGCATTTAGGACATGAATGAAAAGACTGTCCACTATTTCGCCCTGGGTGACTTTGAACGGACCGACGTAGGCGACATCGAATATAATACAATCCGCCGGAGCGAAAAAGGGTTTTGCTTAGTCATGGCATAAATACGCTTCCGTACATGAGCCAACAGGTATAAGTGATAAATATAGCCTTAATTCAGAAAAGTGTTTTTTTTAACTGATGTTTCTCAGGTGTTCAAGACACAGGTTAAGTTCAAACTCACTTTGTCCTATGACTTTTGACAATGTTTCTCTTCAGAGTTGATCAACCCTTAGAATAGTCGTGACTCCCACCGCCATTTTGAAAATTTCTCGTCGTTCTAGTGACTTCCACCCTTGATCCAGTCCCTGCACCGCAAACTGCTCAAAAAGTACATAATTATTTGACAGCACGTAAATCGTGATTTAGTCCGCACAAATAACTGCGGGCCTATAGCCTGCAACCTGTCTGGGTCAAAGGTTACGGATACCATAGAAACCAGACAGGCTACACGGATGTGCATGTACTCTCTTTTTTGTATAATGCATAGCACACTTGATGAACGGATGCGTGACGACATGAACCACAGCTCAGTACTAAACGACTACGCAAATTTTGTTTGAATATTTTTTTGGGGGGGGGTCAATTTAATTTCCTTATTTATTCGGTCGTTTTGGTCTTGTTAATAGGTTATGGGTCAAAGTCAACACAGTAATGTTTTAATGGATAAGTGAGGCAATGGCCGAAGCCTGACTCCACTCTGTGATCCCATCAAACGCGATGTCTCAGCATCTGAGCCGATATTGCATGCATATGTCGGAGGTCAAAAGATGCGATCGTTAAACGTCCAGGGCGTACAAAGCTAGCGATATTCCATCTCTCTTTCATTGGAGGAGTGAGCTAGTAGCCACAAGGCCTGCAAGAAACCATATGTTCCCTTGTCCGACCCTGATGGTGATCCTACACGGTTGCCCCTGCGTCCAGCTCGCTGTGGCCAGTGCAAGCCAAGGGGTGCAGCCTAACAACTGCTTGTAATAGCTATAAACGAAGCCAAAAGGGGTGGGGTGGTTTCCAAAGCCTCACGAATAGACGTCAGATGGCGTATCAGCCAAATATGCTACTAGGCCTAGCTACACCATGTCTGAGAGCATCTTGATGAGAAACTGAACAGGAAAGTTAGAGTCTTTATACTTGATGGTTTTACCCCCTTTTACCCCCTCCCCTTTAGGAAGGGGAAACTCATTTTTGGGAGCCTAGCCCCGTCCCAGTATGATAAACACTACACTGTAAAAACCCTGGTGTTAAAATCAACAGTTTCGGCGTTATCAGATGACCACACCACAGGGTGTTACTTTAACACCGCCGGTGATAATTTGCACAACTATAAGTGGTACAATACACTGGACTGGAGGGTGTTAAGAGTAACACCAAACAACACTAAAATTTTTAACACCAGTGAAAAGGGTTGCTGTAGTCGTCTGATAAAATTTGGGCAAGTTCATATAGAACATAGGTCAGCAAAATCTTGAAAAATAACGCAGCTTTTTGAGCACAAACCAATGTAACACTGAGCCTTTATCTAATGGTAACATAAAATTTCAAAAGGCAGCAGATTAAGCTTTTTATAGAGAAACAAAAACTAATAACAAAAGGTTAACTTCGACAAAAGTTGCATCTTTAAAAATAGCACTTCTCATTTGCAGAGATCCTTAAAAACAGCGTTTTTAGGTTGTCTGGGCACAGCATGAAATCTACCTGCTTGACGTACATGACGTCATGATGACGGATACTGGTGCCATAAAGATTGAATTTATCACAAAACAAAATCCATCAACAAAACGATGCGTCATTTTACAATCAAAGCACGCGAAAACAGTAACCACTTGTTGATACGTGGGATCGTTACGAACAAAATGGAAGCCTTGTGGTATATGTAACGTACATGTACATGTACATTGTACATGTACGTGTACTTTGACCTATTCACGTGTTTCAATCAGTTTCGTTGGGGATGCTTTTACCAACCACGCAGGAAGGAAAACACTCCGAGCCCCCAAAGTTTTTAAAATGGCGACAAAAACTTGACAAAATACCTTATTGACACGCTACTGGCTTTGCTGTTTTCTAACGACGAACTGTTCTGACTTCTGCTGTACGTATTCATGATCATTTCACGGACAGTAAATCGAGGAAATTAGCCTAGACGTTGGTCGACCGGCCCCACTCGCTCGCCAGCAGAGTGAATTTTTTAGGCATGCATATGGGTAACTGCGTTTGACCCCGGTGTTTGACTGAGGGGTGCACAGTGTCTCAATTCAAGGAAAATTCTCCGCCAGGCCGAGGCGCAGAAAAAGTACCCCCCAGAGATTGTTTCAAAAAGAGGGGTCTGTCTGGGCCAAGAAATGGTGGAATTGTGTCAGTATGGCCCAGGATCATCTCTGTAGATTCAGGGGCACCCATCTGGGGCAAAGCAGACAAAAATGGGATTGAAAATTAGTCAGAAGAGCCCAAGGAAGGTGAGGCATGCGCATGTCATTCGAAAAATGGCCGCTGGGAGGGCTTGGCAACATTCACTTTTTGCATTTTTGGGGGGTGAGTTTGTTTTGGGCGGATAATTAAAAAAATCATTGGTTAACCTACTAAAAATTGACAATCAATTGAAATCTGAAGGACCAAACAACACATTGTTTTTTGTTTGAGAGGCCTCAGGGACTTCAGTTGCCTGACATGTGGCTCCAAACTTGGTTGATTTTACACTTTTTTCAATGGAGCTTAAATTGGTTCAGTGCACCTATAGGGTCTGTGCACAGAGACTTCAAATGTTGTCTGTATTATTATGGAACTCTTTCCCAAATAAGCCTTATCGCAAACACAATGCCTTTCTACCGTTGTGTAAAATCACCCATGCAATATTTGCGACAAGGCTCTTGTTCACGAAATAGGTTAAACGTAATTACTATGGAGTCTGCCTCTAACGCGTGTCGACCAGTCAAAATTTGCGGTCAGTTAGAAAAGAACTCACCTTTGGGTTTGATCGGCAAACCTGATAGCACAGCTGACGGTCGTTTTGGCTTCCTAAAGCTATTCGCCTGAAGCAAGACAGTCCGCCAAACCTGCAAACTACCCCGCGAACATTGCACACATAGGCCTGATCTGGTTTTATTTTGGGACACCAGCCCTTGGCTGTTATCAGCTGATTGAGACTATGGATACGGAATATTAGAACATATATGTGAACACACATAATAGACATAGCCACAGCCCAAACTGCCTTGTTATTGTGTAACCCAGGAATGTCTTATGTAGGCATTCACGTGTGCAAGTGCACTTGGCACGTGCATTTACGCAATGGAATGTGGCACGTGTATCATCAAGGAATGAAATGCGGGGAAGTCCCCGGCCGAGTTTTATGTTCACTAGACCGTGCCTATACCTCGAGCTCCACGAGTACTAGGCTTATAATATAGTACACAGTTCGGGAGTAATTTCCTACAAGCACCAATGGTAGTGTCTTAGCTGTTGATAAAAGTTTCCACATTATATTCCAGCCTCGAATTTGTGCTAGATCGTAACCTCAAGCTTTTGACGTTAAAACCAAATTTAAAAATACTTCCCAACTGTGTGCCGTGTGCTGTGTGCTCAAATTTGTCCTTTTTAGCTCGAAGTCAGAATAAAACTCGGGCGCTATTTTGGATGAAATCTTTAGGGGCCCAGGGAGTACACGCTTTGTTTTTTCAAAGGAACACTGAATATGTTAAATCACTCATTTGTACGCAGGGGCAGGTGCCTCCACCCCCTCCCCGGTAAGCCATTTGCGGGAACGCTGCACAATCACACAAAGTGGTCCCAAATTAATGTCTACAATTTTCAAATGTCTATTTTACCTCAAGCCATGCTTCTTTTTCTTGTTTTACACGTACACTCCGTTTTACACGTTACGCCATGTCATAATTTCCATCCGTTGACGTGGAGATCAGAACTGGCTCGAGCTCAACTTGGCAATGATGCATGCTTGGGACCGTCACATGCTAGTCACTTTTTCGCCCCCAGCAAAATCTATCCTTTTCACATTATTAGCACGATTCTAATCTTTATTTTGCTGATCGCCTTGTCGAGAAACATAGCTCAAAGTGCAGTCGTCCGTCCGTAAGCAGGCCCCTGCCCCCTGCTCCCAACCCCCCCCCCCAAAAAAAGCATTTCGCAACAGTTAGAGAACGGCCCTTTCCGACTTTTTCATATTCTTTCCACCTCAAAGAGTGTATTGAGAAGACCTCAATATTGAGCCTCAACCCTTCGGGGAAGCCACAAAGGGTACTAGCCCTCAAATTTTTAACCCCTAGAGGGGAGAGCCTTCCCATTTAAAAAAAAATGGCCCACGAAAATTTGGTTCTTTAGAACTGCCCCTTGCCGAAGTACCACCTCGCGATGTTATTAATTATATACGCTTTGACATTGGCTTCCGGTACGGTTCCTGCTATGCTGCCAGCGATCAAAAAGTTTTTGATGAATAATTCATGATGCAAAGTTAGGGACTTTTATAGACATGCGTAGTTGTACCTCATCGTCGCAACCATATCAGCCGATATATACGAAAAGTTACCGCGCCGATGTGAAGAGGACTTGACTTCCAGTGACTTCTGTGGCTGCCTGTCCAGAACCGTCAGTTTCTAGTAAACTTCGTGTGAGTAGGTTATTTTTCCACTTTCTGTATCTATCACTGACAGTAATCTGAAGCTGCAATTCACGTGTAAAGCGGTGACTTTAGTTGGTGTTTTTTTTTCCCACAACGGGCCTGTGGGGGTCGCTCAGTCCCAGGCCCGAAAAAATGAACCGCTAGCGTTAGGCTTCAAATCATGCATGTACATGTACTTGTAAACGTCATCATGAAGCTCTAACGTTTTCAAGAATCAAGTCATTATCAACCAGTTAAATTGACACATTTGATCGTATAAGAAACATTTTGCTGTTCGTGATGGCAATCCTCACTTTTTAAGAGTCCTAAATTAGGACTCTGCTGCTCCATGTAGTACTCAGACAGAAGTTCTCAGTCTGAGTAAAGTAGGAATACTATTGGCCTCCTTAAGTTATTAGTACCGGTAGTTATACCATGTACCGGTACATGTATACCAGGCGAATCGCCTCTTTCAGTTAAACACTTGGACATGGTCAGCGAAAGTTAATAGAGGCAATTCGTAGTACATGTGCATGTACGTAGTCTTAGTTACTTGGACTAGGGTGTCTTAGAAGTATGATTTTAGAAACATCCAACAGCTTCAAGCAACATTCTCGATTTAGATCATACGCTCGTATGTATGTCATGTCATCAGTCATCAGAGAATAAAGTAAGTTGGTCAAAAGGCCTGTTGGGGCAAAAAGAACTGCACTGTGTAGTTTGAAAATCTAACATAAAATATCTCACTACACATGCACTCTGTTCAGAGTAAAGGGAGTTTCATTGCGGTGATGTGCTCCTGCTCGATTCATGTTCTGAGTCATGCCTATTTTAAGGTCACTTCCTGTGAACACATATGCTCAGAATTGCTGGGAGAATTGAAGTTTTTGGAACGTTACCAGTGACTGGGGGATCTCAAAAATTAAATACTGTCCCTCACTGCATACTTTGGAATTTATGTGCAAAGCAGCACAGATTACTGAGACTTGTACCCACCACGATCTTGGGACCGGGTATCTATTGTGGAGCTCAGTGCTGTACCGTGGAAAAGACTGACAAGGATCTGTACCGTGCTTGAATGTGTGCAAGCTATGGAAAATGTCCGCTCTCACTAGGTAACAAAGCACCGTATATTTTTCGTGCATGCAGCTGACAAAAAATGGAGGTCACTGACCCCTTCGGTGAATTAATGGGCTAGCTTCTTTTCAATCTGTGATGATTGTCAGAGGAAACAGTCAAATTGGTTTTAAAAAGTCATCCATGGCAAAGTTTCTAGGGTTTTTTTTCCGATGTTAGTGTGTATTTCCCATCCAAACTCGAATACATGTAAATAGTTGTATTGTATGTATTTATTTTGCACAAACCAACCCTTATTCATCATGTTACTTGGCTTGGTGGTCAGGAAGAACTACACTGTACATGTACCGCTAAGTTGGCTTTGGAAAGTTTAAAGTATAATCTGTGATGAAAAAATGTAAGTAAGGTCCTGTTGTAAATTGTAATTAGGAATAAAGAATGTACAGTAACAATATGTTTGCAAGAATTTCAAAGACTGTCCTCAGAATCTATCTTTACTACATCTAGTTTCCATGGTTACCGTAGACTAGAGGTCATATAAAGTTTTATCTAGTTTATACTGAAGTTTATTTATAGCAGTGTTTTTGTCAAGGGTACATTAGGTTGACCCCAGAGTTTTCCAACCACAACTCCAGACACAAGTACCAGCATTGTCAACCCCCTCTGAGTCACAGTCGTGGAATTTACCACATGTCTCCCCCTAAAAAAGTTGAGTGTCCCTTGGAAAAGTTGGGGGCCCTTAGGACACTGTGTCTGCTTTTTCTGAACAGTTTTTATAACAAGGACAGGACTTAAGAGGACTTCAAGGTTTAGTGCAGTTTCAGTGGATGTGTTCCTGTCAAGACCAACTAGTCAACAGAACGTAATTAATCCATCACCTTGATTCTGTACAATCAACTTTTAAACTAACATTGGCTAAACAAATATACCAAGTTCTTGATACTGAAAACAGGATTTTCAGTGCAGAGACGAGAGTTTGTGTCTCATACATGAGGTAAGTTCTGAGAAGATTTAACTAGGTCTTACACTTCTTTTTACATGTACATCCAATTGCCCCCCCCTTTGAACTTCAAGGCGAGTCTGTCTTAAGCAGTTGCACCACTTTTGTGGAAGAATTTACCATGTGTATTATTGCAATGCATGGATTCCAAAGTAGTGCTGTGAGAGTTTCTGGGCCAGTTTGGCTCCATGTTCTGGTACCGGAACTCTGTAAACACCGGTAAATGGTTTGCCCCATTCCTAAAATTAAAAGGAATTTAGTCTCAAGAAGATCCTGCTGGGAGGGCACTGACTGCAGAATCCTGGAATGGAATGCTTCCTTGCTCTTCCTTCAGGAGCATGTCAGCGCAAGCGCTCCAACTTGAAATGACCGAGGCCGTGAATATCAAATTCCCTGCTCAAGTTCAAGTAATGTTTTCACTGTGCAGGGATGCTCCGTCTCCCTCCCGCTGGGTATCTGCTGCTTACAAGGAAATCAGTATTCTACACAAGGTGCCCATTCTACTGAT